ACTGGAACCGCATCACGCGGCTACACAGCCAAACATCAGCTAGCGCATGGTTGGCTTGCATGTGATGCTTTAATGCATGTGATGCTTTAATGTGACAGCGTGATGCTGTTAGTGAGCTTCTATGCGCTAGCTGATGTTTGGCTGTGTAGCCGCGTGATGCGGTTCCAGTTAATACCCACTAACTGACCCTTGCTCGCCATAGAGTCTCCTGTAGCTCAGTGGTTAGAGCATCCGACTAGATCACGGAGGGTCGTGGGTTCAAATCCCATCTGGAAACTCGATTTTTCTCTTATATATATATGTATATATATATAAATACAATAAGAAAACTGTAAGGACCCATGATATAATATAATTATAATTAAAAATATGAGTGCAAGTAATTAAATCTCTAGTAATTAAAAACGTGACCCAGAATAAAACTGTTCTTGCAATGTTCAGTCCTACATCTTGGTAATTTATATGGCCTTTGGTTCCTAAGTAGATATAATTATTAACTTCTGGCAAAAGTGAATGTAATTTGTGCCCTCATTTGAAGAGATCTTGACGAAGAGTATCGAGGATATTTCTTCTCTTCTTTTAGGTAGTGTAGGCAATCCTGATGCGCTGAGGGTATAAAAGGTTATCCAAGATTTATTAGCATGAAAAAGGTTTTAATTAACCATTTACTCTCAAATGCACTTTTCTAATCCATGATTATTGCTGATACCATAGTACTAGTACGAGACACGGTGGTCTCATGGTTAGTGCGCTGGATTCTCGACCAAGTGGTCGTGGTTCAAGCGCTGGTGTTGGGTTCTTGGGCAAGACATTTTACTATCACAATGCTCCTCTTCACCCAGGTGGGTACTGACAAATTTAATGCTGGAAGGTAACCTTGCGATGGACTAGCATCCCGTCCAGGAGGGAGTAGAAACGCTCTTAGTTGCTTCATGCTATGGAGGCTGGAGTTAAGCACTGGACTGATGAGCCACTTGGGCCCATAAAAAAAAAAAAGACTTTCTTTACCTATTATATGCCTGTAGTTCTAATGAAAATGATTCTTTTTCCATCGGTAGAAGAGAAGGTGGAGATTCTGAGGAAAGGAAGCCAATTGCTGTAAGGCCTTTTCTGAGACACAGACTCTTGTCAAAAGATGAAGAGTCACAAAAAATTCCTGGTTTGTATCAGAATGTTATCTATGAAGAAGTTTGTTGTTTGTTGTTTGTTGTTGTTAAGGAAGCAATTCTGTTGATGCAATAATTACATTGTTGTCAAGCAGTTAATTTTTGAAAATTAATGCATTTCTTGAGATTTTGTACAGGATTTTTTTGTGCAGGAGCATGCCACCACAATAACTGCAGTATTTTCAGTTTCGATAACTTCTGGATCTGCACTAGAACCCTGTCAAAGTCATTAGGATTTGGTTTAACCAAAAGACTTACCCTCAGAGGAACTCTTAAAATAATTGTCAGTGCCCACTCCATGCACCCATCTATCTACTCCCTAACTTATTGCAAACGCTGTGATAATCTGTGTACGTTGTACGCTCTAACCAATTGAGCTAACCGCCTCCCGGTTAGCTCAATTGGTTAGAGTGCTGGACTGTTGTGTGGGAGGTCGAGGTCGATGGTTCGAGCCCCGGCAGGACCAACACTCAAGGTCTTGAAATAACTGAGGAGAATGCGCTACCTTTCTTTAATATCAAGAAATGGATAGACATTCTAGTCTTCTCAGATAAGGACAAATAAACCATAGGTCCCGTCTCCTGCAGCTATTAATTAATTAATTTGGTTAGGCAGGGGATGTTAAAGAACCCACTCACGAGATTGCTGTGATGTGGTCTGGCCTGTTTACTGGGAATTGGGGGGGAGGGGGCATCTTCAAATAAGTTTCCTTGGATTGTTTGTAAACTTCTGATGCAGTCCGGCCAAAGTCCCCCGAAAAGTGTTGTGATGCGCATTTGATCATATCCACATGTTAATTTGCGCAATATAAATATTAAATTATTATTATTATGTTGTCCTGTGCGATGACTTCCTTTGAATCATGTTCAAATTGATAAAGTGTTTTAAACAAAGTCATATGAAAGTGCCACTATGATCAAAATTTCACATTGCCTTTTCTTTTCACTTCTGGAAACTAGAAGTAAGAAACACTTACCATGCCACGTTTAATCGCAAAATTCTCACGGGAAGTATGATTATTTCAACCTTGTTTTCGTTTTT